CATCTCGTAGTTGGTGGAATAATACCAACAGAATGAGTTGAAGGCGAAAGGAGAAATTTATTCTCTACATAGCTGGGAATAACTGCGCGAAGGAAGTGATTTATGTGAGACAATGCGAGGCCACTCTTGTGATTCCAAAACAGAAGCTTTTAGTCCTTTGAAAGCGATGGAAAGAATGAGACTCAAAGCGACAACTCCACAAATTCCATTACGCCAGATTTACATGGAAATCATTTGAGACTGTCCTAAAAATATTAAAAATTCTTTATCCTCCTTAAAATGTGAACAGATACTTCGTGGTTTAAGAAAAACTCAGTACAGTGCAAATCCTAACAGCGTAGAAGAAGCAGTATTGGCAATATCTGAGCCAAATCCATTTACACACATTTTGAAAGGAGTCGTCAGATTTGAAGACCAAATTTTTTTGCCATATTATTTTGTTCATCAGCGCTACTACAAATACACTCATTTAGCACAGTAATTTTGCTCAAAAAATTGATGAATTTTTGTGAATTTTTTTTTAGAAATTTATTTAACATTTTTTAACCTTAGTTTGCTCATAATATTTTGTTTTTGTTATATTTTTCAATACTCCTAAAAATTTATTCATTTTTTTCAGGATCTACAATTATTTCCATTAATGCAACATTTCGCGTTGTTCCTAGCATTTTCAAAAGAAGTCAACTACTAAGTATCTCCATTATGCATTGTGACATTGTCCTTCCTGTGTTTTATGTACTTATGACTGGGAGAAAAGAAGGTAATAACATTGCTATATTTAGAAAAATTAAGGAACATTTAATTGACTTTTAACCACAAATTTTTATGGCTGACTATGAAGCAGCAATAGGCAGTGCCTTGAAGGTTGTCTTCCCTGAAATAAGATTGACTGGTTGCCGGTTTCATAACGGCCAGGGAATTATAAGAAAAACCAAAGCTGTTGGTCTTCAATCTGAGTACATCAAGAACCCTGCAATTAAGAGGTGGGTCCGGAAATTCGTTGCCATGCGCATCTTGCTTTGTGTTTTTATCAGAGCCGAAGCAGATTTACTCAAAACAGATATGAATTGATTTGCAAACAAAGAAACTCGTAAAAAATAAGAAAGTTTGTGTATTACTTTGAGAAGTATTGGGTGACAACACAAACGACCAGCATCTTTTTCTGTGCATTGACTTCAATTCAGAACCAACAATGTCTCGGAATCACTGCATTCAAAAATGAATATATGCATGGCTGCTTACCCTAGTTTTTAGAGGTTTCTAGGCGATATATATCATGAGATATTGCCATATTTGAATGAATATTGTAAAGGATAATGTCCGTCGATGAAACTCATAACAAAGTAACTCGATTTTTTTTGTAATCCCTTAAGGCATTAGGGTCTCTTCTGATAGGTGCGAATTATCATATAAATTAGCTATCATAATTTTATAATCGTACTACTTAAATTTGTACGAAGAAATATTTTACAAATCAAATCATTTGTTCATATTTTCAAACGGCTTGAAAGTGTGATTTATTTGTGACAATTTGCTCATATCTGCCATTAATAACATTTTGATGTAATCTTTATTGCATTTACAATCTCAATCTTTGTTTGCTTGAATTAAAATTATTTTTGTGAAAATGCATCAAAAGATTTTTTTAATGAAATAATATATATATAATATATATTTCGCCATAAAGAAGATATTTACAAAATTAGACTTTAAAAACTGTATATACACGGCTGGGGCAAGAAGAAAACATATTCAGTCTTATTGACAAGCCCCTTCAAACAAGAATATAAGTAACAAACAAAACAAAAAACCAAAAACCAAAAAAATCCGTTATCACAATATAATATATGCGTAAGGTACATATATAAATACAAATATCTAAATATTTTTCATTAAAATTTAATATTTTTTTTAGTTTTTTTTTTATCAGGATTTCAAATTTTGATAGTAAATAAAAATAAGATAAAACACGATAATTTAAGAAGGTAAAGATTCAAATTAAAATCAAAAATTAATATGTTAAAAATTAATTAAATATCAAATAAAAAACAAGTGATTACTCCTATTTAAAAGTTTTAGAAGTCAAGTTCATTTCATTTATCGAAAGCTTACTTTTTTTTTTTTTTTTTTTTAATTGATCAAGGGAAGAAATTTTTGTAAACTCATTATCCAATAGGGTGTTCCATAATTTAGGTCCTCTGACTGCTATTGAAAACCTAGTCGCAGAATAATATTTTTTTGGTTGAATATAATTGTTGTTTGAAAATCTTGTTGGGTATAAATGATTTATTTTTTCGAAAAATGAATTAAATAAAATGGATGCCATTTTATTATCTACTTTGAACATAAATATAAAAATTTGATATAGGTTAAGTCGAAATACGTTAAGTATTTTGAATTTATAAAAAAGTAATGAACTTTATAGATAATTTTGAATTTTAGAATTTCACTCTTTTGTGCACGAACTTCTAAAATTTCTTCAAAATTCGAGAAGCAATTATTGTTTTGTACAATTACATTGGAGGCCGGGTGAATAAAAAAAACATTTGCTTAAACTCAGCATTTTTGGAGTAATTGCATATCTTTACGTAAAGTAAAAGGTTTAGCAAATTTGCTCAAGTTTTTATTCACGTAAAGTCTCGTAAAACAGCTTGTTTACTTCAAAAGCGTATCTAAACTAAAACGGGAATCCGCCATAAAAATATTAATAACATCACAAAGTTCCCACTAAATGTTCCCACTGTGCAGTGGCGTAGCTAGGATTTTAGGCGTCTGAGGCTATCCTGAAAATAAGCTTCCCCTGAAGCAGACATGTAAACTAAAAAAAAAAACACTTAATGTTTCCAAGTTAATAACAATTTTAATTTTAAGAATGCAAAAGCTAATCATATTGCATTCTCAAATTAACTTATGTTTCCGATTACGTATCCATTATTGTTCTTGTAAATTAGTCATTGAAAGTGACAAATATAAATAAAAATTTTTGACCTTTATAAATAAAACTTAGTGGTGCAGCCAACTAGCCCCGGTCTCCCCTACTGTCTATAAAGTTAAATGTGTTGATTTAAATTAGTTTTAGTGTTAACAAAAACTATCTTTTAAAAATTAAATTAAAATAAGTTTTTTAAATTTAAAAAATACGCTATTCACATGAATTTAATAACTTTTTTACTTAAAGATGTCCAAAACCATCAGAGAAGATCCCTATTACCAGAACTTTATTTAGTGACTTCTTATTAGCTTTGGATAAGTGCATATTCTCTGATGAGCTATTCTCTGATTTATCAATTGAAGAACTTGAAAAGGCGTTAAAATCTGTTTAAAATAAAAATCATGTGGACCAGACAAAATAAATGGAAAGGTGATTATAGATTGGTTTGAGCAACTAAAAGATGTTCTTTTCAAAGCTTTCAGGGCTTTAATTAAAAAGGAACTTTTTCAGAACAATTAAAAATTGTCAAAGTTATATCTTTCTATAAAGAGAGTGACCAATCCCGAATAAATAATTATCGCCCAATCTCTGTGCTCTCTGTATTCTAAAAAATCCAGTTTATATATTCTGTTGCTTATAATTCTCATAAGAATTATGTGCAACAGAATATATAAACACCTTGACAAAAATAACCTCCTCAATGTAATTAACTTGGTTTTAAAAACGATATTTCAACAGTGCATGCAATTATCTAGGATAAATTTTCAAATTCTTTTAAACAATCAAAATCTACATTAGGTATTTTTATCGACAGCTATCGATACGGTTGACCATCACTTCCTACTCAAAAAACTGAAATACTAAGGAGTAAATAAGCAAGTTTTAAAGTGGTTCAGCAGTTACTTAACAAACAGAAAACAATTTGTTGTTGGTATTGACAATTATCACAACAATTGTTTAAGTATGATCTGTGGAGTTCCACAAAGTTCAATCTTCGAACTCCTCCTTTTTTAATTTATATAAACGATCTAAATAAAGCAACTAATCTGATGAGCATCGTGTTCGCTGATGATAGTAAATTATTCATCTCTAAAAGTGACATTACCGAACTTTTTGCCACCGTAAATAAAGAACTTAAACTTTTATCCCACTGCTTTAAATCCAATAAATTAACACAAAAGTCTCTATAAACATTGTAGTTTTATACAAAGCTCAAACTTATCTTAATAAGAAAAACATAAGATAAATTTATTTCTCATTTATTTAATGCTACATAAACTACGCTAATATTGCCTATATTCAAATAAACTACATAAATGTTTTTTTTTTTTAATTAAGCGTAACGTTTATAAGCAGAGAAGGAAAAAAAATAAGCATGCGTAAGCATATTCCTGAGCCTCGATAAACCATTTAAAAAATTCAAATTTCGTTTATTTTTTCATTTCAAATTTTGTTTATTTTATTATTTCATTGATAGCATTTGTATATAGTATATATTTTTTATTATAATGTACTTAAGTCTTTTTATTTTTCTTATAATCATTAACCTTTAGTAACGCACGCATTTTTAGAAAATATTGAAATAAGCATATTTTAGACCATTATGAGGTAAGGAAAATTGCGTTTATCGCTTTAACTACGCAATTGAGTTAGATTATAAGATTATTTCTCATAAATGTTTGTATTTTAAGGTACTATACTAGATTAAGACTTAGAGCCATAAAAAGAAAAAAAATAAAAATTTTTTAGGTAAAAATGAAAATCAAAAATGACAAAAATAAAATTTAATTTTTGCGTACTTTTGAAGCATGATAGTTAGACAAGCCATCGAAAAGAATGTACTTTGTTCTAATTTAAAGTTGAAATTATTTGGTCAATAATTCTAAAGTATTTGTCTAACTTTGAAGTTCAATATCTAGTAAACAAATAAATATTCAAAGTGATTTCGAAATATACAACCTTGTATAAACAGTTTTTTGTATTAACATACTAAAAAAAAAAAAAACAAGTTTAAAAAAGACCATTATTAACATTATACTAAGTAAATTCGATGACAAGTTTTTTGGTTTATTTCGACTATTATTTAGTGGTTACTAGTTAAATAGTTGTTTAATTCTTTATAAAAAATTTTGTTATAAAATTCTTTAGTTAATTGTCTTAGGTAGAGGAGGCCATCTTTTAGGAAAAAAATTTTACATGTAAGATGCATATTGTGGTTATTAACTAAAACAGAAATAAAAACACAGCAAAAATACAATATCATAGCCATATGCTGCTTAAGATATACATTTGCTTTATTTTTTCTTAGTGCACGTTCGTTTACAATACGCGTTCGAATGCAATTTTGAGGAATTTCGTTTTTATCAGCAAAAAGATTCATTTTATCACGACCTAAAAAAAAGATAAATAGTTAATTAGCCTACATGCAAAATTTTTATTTTTTAATACCATACGACACATAACACCGTTATACAGGTTATACGTTTAAGTCTGTTATACGTTAATCGGTTGTTTTTTTTTGCGAGTTTTTCTTTATATAGTGTATAGTAAAAAAAATCTAAATTATTTTGGATAAACCGAACTGACGTAGATAATTTTTTTTTCAAAAGTTTCTACAAATTAGGGGTAATGATGGGTTTTATAGTTCAAAACTTAATGCAAAAAACAATCATAAGAAGATCCTTTCATAAAACTTAAACCTTTTTATTTAACTAATATAATTTTTCGTGGTGCGAATACATTTCGAATTTAGGCGGACATGATGGATATACAATAAGTTTTTTTTTGCAAAAATGATATAAATTCATTAAGCAAAAAAAAAAAATCAGGATGTAAACCAATCAGCGCAAAACAGAATTAATCTTCAAATGAGACGAACTTTTATAAATAATGAAAATAAAAGCAAAGAAGCAAAAAAAAAATTAAAAGGGCTATTATAAAGTATATATAAAAAAAAAACTCGCAAAAAAATAAATAAATACAAGAGTAGAAATAACATAAATAAATTCAGTTGTAATTTTTATAAAGCAAATATAAAAATCCACTATCAGATAATAAAGCATACTTGGGAATCCTTTATCACGAGCTATAAAGCTCTGAAAGGTAGCTGCAAATAATCTCTTTTGACATTCCGTCCATTGAAAATAAATTTTTTCTAAAAGTCAAAAAAGTAACAAAACTAAAACAGTATTAAACATTAAAACATTTATATATAAATTAGTAACATTTTTTAACAACAATAAACTAAATTTAATCTAAGGCACAAGTTACCAGATTTGACTCTTTTATTTTTAACGCGATGAGTGTCTTCCTTCCTTTCTTCTATGTCCTCATCCTCATCTTCCACTTCATTAATAGATAAACTAGCGTATCCTTAGAAAAAAGTTTTAGATTCAAGTTACGATTTTTAGTTGTAAAAATTTCAATGATTGGTTTGGTAAGTATTAAACATTCATTAAGTATATATATATATATATATATATATATATATATATATATATATATATATATATATATATATATATATATATATATATATATATATATATATATATATATATATATATATATATATATATATATATATATATATATATATATATATATATATATATATATATATATATATATATATATATATATATATATATATATATATATATATATATATATATATATTTAAAAAAGAACCTAACACTATATATATATATATATATATATATATATAAATATATTATTTCTGAGATTATTAAATAATTTTACTTTTAGCATCTCTTGTTTTTTCTGGCTTTAAATCTTCGATCGTAGACAATTTCCCTATTTTTAAATCACTATATAGGGAACTAGAAGAATCAGAGAGACCCTGGTCAATGTTTCTTAAAAACTGACCTGAAGATAAAAATAAAAATAAAACTTAAAAAAGGCAAAAACAAAAAATACAACCTTTTTATGTTACAAAATTTTATGTAAAAGTATTTTCAACAAAAATATTCATTAAAATCAAAAACACAATTTATAACAAATACCTTGTTTGCTTAATACTAAATACCCAGTTTTAATCAAGCATGGTATTTGATAATAATAATAATAACAAAAACCTGTTGTTCTTAACTGCTGTTCTGCTTGGGGCACTTGATAAATGTTTTTGTTTACATCACCACTGTGTCCAAAGTGGTCGTATACAAGCTGTTGATTTGACTCAGATAAACCAAGAGCTCCAATTAGAGATGAAACTCTATGTCTGTTCATAGTGCCAGTTAGCCTTCCATCAACATTAGCTTTTTTGCAACAAGAAACTAACACATGCCAGCCAGAAACATGATTATCACTTCCATTTGTAGATGGAAATAAGTATTGATTTTCAGGAGCTATTCCAGAATCCTTTCTTGCTGCTTCTGAGCTTACAAATTCAATTGCAGATACAAGATCTGGAGGAATAAACACAGGAACTAGCTTATTTCCTTTTCCTTCCTGAAAAGTAATTCGATTCCCAGTTGATATTTCATCAATGTATGATCTTCTAGTTGCTTCAACCAACCATGTTCCAGCAATAGCTTCCTTCCATTGATAAATAAAAAGTCTAGCTGGCTCACCACCACGACGAACATTAAAAATTGTAAGCCTTGTACATGCAGCATCTCTCACATCCACAAACACAGAACTTGGAAACTTTAAGGGAAAAAAACTACTGTCTACTACCTCACTCAAGTAGTTTTGTAATAATTTTAATGCTTGATTATCAGGTAAATTTGCTGGTTTTCGAGTCGATTTGTTTCTTTTTTGGTGAAGTTGGTATAAAGCATCTCCAAAAAGTTCATGCTGAATTACTGAAAATATTGATATAAAATCCCTCACCATCTCAGCCTCTTTGTTTCGAGATTCTACCATAAAATGAACTTGTACCATATTCGCAACTCGCTTAATAACATTTTGGAGATGAACTTTCAAGCCTGACTTCATTCCATTTATATCTTCAGTTAGTTCACGTATAGCATTATTTAAATGACTTATGTTCTCTTTTTTAAACATATCAGATGCATCAAACGATGAAACAAGTGAATTTTTAAAAGTACTATAAAGTCTAGCAAGTTGCCGCATAGTTCCTCTGACACGTTTTTCTACTTCAAACTTTTTCTCTTTTTTACACTTATTAGCTTTATATATACGTGCACCTATCATAATAATAATAGGATCACTTTTAGCTAATGCAGATATATCATCCTGGATCATCTTGTTGATAACTGCTTTGAAATTGTTATCTAGACTGTCAATTCTGACCATTGCTTCAATTGGCATTAATGGAATCATAACTTGGCCATTATCTCGACCACAATAAATTTGGTGTCTAGCCTTATATGGTTTTGCATAACAGCCCTTACACGCAGCACAAATCACAAGATTGTCACCATCAGCATGATGATCGTTCGCTTTTCTTTCTCTAATAAATTTTGGAACTTCTTTTTTCATTTCGAGTAAATTATGGTTAAAAATTCCATTTTTTCTAAGTAGAGCAAAAGCTTCTATTTGTTCTCTTTTAGGAAGAGATAAAGCTTTTTTCACTGTGGGCTCATCTTTGTGGCACAACTTTAAATATCGTGTAAGGGCACTTTGAAATTTACCATCTTTACACAATGGACATGGCCTATGAATCTTCTTCTTAGATTGTATATTCTTTTTAATAACAAAACTGGTTTCATTGTTTTTATCAATAGAGTTAATTGACTCAGGTAAAACTGTGGAATTCAAAGGTAAAACTGTGGAATCCAAAGGTAAAACTGTGGAATCCTGAAAAGATGCAAAAAAAAAAAAAAAAAAAAAAATTTAAATCCAATCTTAAATGCATTATTGCTACTACAGTAAGTGACACTCAACAATTAAACTGCTTTTTATAAATATTGCCAAAATTTAAACTAAGTATTATAAGCTTTATCAACAAATAACATCTAGCTGTTTCAAGGCTAAATTTTGCTAACATTACGTTTAAAATAACCTTTTCTCCTAAAACAACAGTTTTCTTGGATCCATAATTGTCTGTAAAAAAAATAATAAAATAAAATAAAAAAATGTCAAATTTTTTTTTCATAAATAAAATAAAAATAGTAGCTAAGTACCATTGGATTCTAACAAGCATGAGCAATTGTAAAGAATTTCACTATACGAATTTTCTTCTTCTGAATCCTCAACATCTGAAAAAAGTAAATCGCCATCTTCCAACTTAAATACCTCTAATTCAAGTTTGTTAGATAAATTATTTACCACAAGCTCATTTTCAATCTTAAAAAAGTGAACATTAAAAAAGCAAATATTAGCAAGCAACTCAGCAAAACAAATCAAAATAAAAAAAATAAAAAAAAACTTTAATCAATATCTTTTTTGATATATATTTAGAAAAGCAAATATCAGAGATCTTGTTAAAGAAATATTACAAAGTAAATCGTGTCTGATAGTTAGATCTACAAAAATCTCCACCTACTAAGTTGTTTTACAAAAAGAACATCTACTAAATAGTGAAACTATTTTTCCAATAACCTACTGAAGCCTTAAATGTTTTTAACTGCTTATAGTTTTTTTTAATCTTTAACCAATTTATGACGTTAATGATTGATTTATTTTTTGACCTATTTTATAAATTTTCGTTTTCAACCAATATGAGATTATGTAATATTAAACTGATTATTAGGTCTGTGATTTGAACATTTTTTTTAAAAAAAATAACAATTAACAAGTTTTCCAAGCAATTATCGAACCTTATACCCACTGATTCTAAAGACAGCGCTTCAACCACTGCGCCAAGGCTGATCATATTTGGCTTGTATTCAAATCAACAACAAAATATACAAATATAATATACAAAATATACACACCAGAAATGCGTAGTTATAGCATTAAAAATACAGCAAGTTAAATATATAGCATGAAAAGTCAGTAGCTCAAAAATACAGTAGGTCAACAACTTAGTAGGTTAAAAATGAGTAGTACATGTTTTATGTAGGTGTAAATATAAAAATCAAAAGCATCAAAATCTATGATTTACATAATTTTAAAATTACATAGAGTTAAAAGCCACTAAGAAAATATAGTTAATTTCAAGTACAATTCAAGCATTTGCAAAAATAAGAATAAAATAACAAACTAAAAAACATTAATAAATATATATTGAAATTACCTCGCTTGAACTAACAACAAAATCAACCAGTGCCGAATTTGTATCTATAGAACTTTCAATCTATGCAATGTATGATTTTTAAATAAATTAAATGCTAACAAAATTTTAAAACTTAAGTCAAATAAAAATAAATTGAACTAGTGAAAATATAATTATGTTACATAAAAATATTTATCATAATAAAAAAGAAACCAGTCAATATAAAGTGCATTTAAAACCTATTTTTTTTTTTTTTACAAAAAATGCTCAGTGCAGCTTGAGGATGGTTTTAGTTTTTTAATCTATAAATTATCAACACTTCATTTAAACAATTTTTAAAAATTATAATAATTCAAAGTATGTAAGTAAAGCGGTACAAATAGTTTTAAACATAATAAATATATCAAATAATATATTCTAGAAATAAGGTTTAGAAAAGTAAACAATTATAGAACTTTTTTATAATCAGTTAATTTTTGTTTTTACTCTGTTAAAAGTAGTGCTAAAATTAAAAATTAGCTCACTTTACCATTTTATAAATTGATAAACCTCTTGCTTCATGAACAAGAGGTTTTACGTTTGATCTTCACCACAACCCTGGCACTACTACATTCAACTTGTTTCAAGGTGCAGCAGCCATTTATTTTTAGGTCCTGCATTGTTATAAAAATGAGAGAGTTGTTACTAAAAAACTATATAAGTAATGTTAAATGGTTTTTAGAATGTCAGACTAAGCAATTGGCCAGCAATCTTGAAATAAAACATTTTCGATCACATGTCTCAGGCATTTCTTGAAATTTTATGGCATTTCTTTTCATTTTATTGGAACACTCAACTAAACGACCAACTTCTCTATAAAATTTCCCTGCTGATATCAACTCTCGGATCAGTTCTCGTTTTTCTGCACTACAATGCTTTCTGCGTCCCATTTCTATATGTTATTGTCTCCAACTAATGCGCACTAACATAAAACGAATAAAACAGCTCAAAAAAATCCAACGCTTGCTATTTTACAATTATTTTTACCGTTATTAGAGTACTTTACCACAAAAGAGTATGTGGTGCTATTTTATTTTTCGGTCAGAATTGGCATTGTTGATTAAAATCGAGCAACACCAAACAGTTTTTTTGCCAAAATGATTTTTTTTTAGAAAATAAACATGTTAGCTAATATTTTAAACAGCAAAGCTTTAAAAAATTTTTATTTTGCATGGTGTTTTCTTAACAAAAAAGAAAATACGCTTAGTGGTGCTATTTTATTTTTCGCAACTGTATATGAAATACATAAATATTTTATCTGTTGGTTTAAAAAAAATTTTTTAAACCAACAGATAAAAATATATTTATGTTATTAAAACCATATTGAATTTGTAAAATTGTTTACTTGAGGTAGAGATTTTATACGATACTAAAATATTTACAAATTGCATGGATCATTTTAGGAAGCTAGGTAAGTTAGATCAGTCAGTTAATAGGCATCAAAAATTGTAAAAAACAAAATAATTACCTTGCTTGAACTTACAGCAAAAACATCAATCAATGACGTATTTGTAACTAGGGTGCTCTCATTCTATGCAAAGTATGATTTTTAAATAAGTTACAAGTTAAGGTAATAAATTTAAACATTTAGCATAATCAAAAAGAATTTAAAGTGCATTATTATTTAGTTTAAAAATATTAGTAATTTATTTATAATTAAGTAATAAATTATTAATAAGTAAGAAATACTACCTCAGTGTAGCATGAAGATGGTTGTAGATTTTCAACCTATAAATTAGTAACATTTAATTTGAACAATTCTGATGTATATTCATTAAAAGTATGTAAATGAGATGGTACTAATGGTTTTTACAAAACATACAAATATTTTTAAAACTATGCTACAAATAGTGTCCAGTAGTGCAAATATTTATAAAAAAGTTTGCGGTTTATTTTTGCCTTTACTTAGATAAAAATAGTGCTTAATTCAAAATATGGTGAGGTCATGATAAATACCTAGGAAAAGCAGCACAATTGAATAGAGTAGAATTTTTTTAAATGTCTTTAACTAAAACTTTTAAACACTTAAACTATTCCATTAAAAAAAAAACTATATTAGTGTTTCAAAGTAGTGCTGACATATAGTAAGACTAAAATGTATATTTACATAAATACATAATACATAATACATAAATACATACGCAATGAATCATACAAGAAAACAAAAAACTATACTTTTCTAAACATGTTTACTAATGGTAGATATATATAGCATTTAGTTAAAAAGCTATATTGGTGATTAGTGGTAATGTTGACTTGAAGATAGAAAATATGTTCATAATAAAAAAAAAACTTGAAAAAATGTGTGCACACTATACATAAATAAAACTATCTTCATAAATATTTAGAAAAAGAGTTAACTTTTAGTAGAGAAAAATAACTATGTATGCTTTATTGAAACTGCCTACTCAAGGTAGATGTTTATAGTGTAAGGCAAATAAAAATATATGAGTAGAGTAGTGTTAACTTAAAGGTACTAATTGAAAAAATCGTAAAATTTTTTAGACCAAGGTATACCTAAGGTATATTTTGACATCAAACAAAAGAAAAAAAAACTATATAACTTATTGTAAGACTTAGAGAATAGTAAAATAATACTTATATATTGAATGAAATATTTTAGAAATTGTGTTTTTTTTAAATAAATAATTATACCATATTAAAAACAACAACAAAAAAACAGTAATTGAAAGTAGTAGTATATTTATATAAAACTAAATATATATATTATTGAAACTGACTATTTAAGGTATATATTTATACCCTAAGGCAAAAAATATATACATTAGAAGTGTTAACATAGAACTAGTAATTCAAAAACTAAAATTTTTTAGACGTGCGTCTATTAAAGGTATCTTTTGATATCACTCGAAATAAAAACAAACTATATAACTTATTATAAGTAGTGTTGACTTAAAGTATGGAAAAACAATATTTATATGTTGAATAATATATTCTGAAAATTGTGCATAATAAATGTAAACCATATAGTTAAAAAAAATAAAAAATAAAAACAACATTGAAAGTAGTGAGAAAAACATATATATATATTCAACTATATAATTTTGAAAATGCCTATTAAGGGTAAATGTTTATCCCACAAGGAAAAAAAAAATGTATCAATAGAGTTTACTTAGAGGTACTAATTAAAAACTATATATATTAATAAAACTGTCTATTAAAAGTAGATATTTATACAACAGGACGATAAAAAAAAAATAAAAAAAATTAGAAATGTAGTGCTGACTTAGTGGTACTACTTAAAAATGCTTAAAAACATATAGAATGAGTGTGTCCTACAAAGGTATTTTTTGAAACCTTAAAAAAGAAAAAAATATACATTTAACTGACTGTAAATAATGATGACTTAGTATTGAAAAAATTATTTTTGTTTTTAATAATATATTCTTAATTTAAGTTTAAAATCAGAAATACTGACTTGAAAGTAATAGTTTACATAATATTAAAATTTTTTTAACTAGTGCATCAACCAAAGATATATGGTGATGTCAAACAAAAAAAAAAAAAACAACTACTTAACAAATCTTAAATAGTGTTGACTTATAGTACGGAAAATAATATTTAGTGGTAATAAGTAAAAAAATCTTAAAAACATTAAGACCAACTTCAGACTGTAAACTTTTAAACCAGAAAGGCTGACTTGAAGGTAATAGTTTACAAAATCTAAAATTTTTTAGACCAAGTGCATCAACTGAAGGTATATTGTGATATCACACACACACAAAAAAAAAACAAAAAAAAAAAACTATTAACCTTATGTTAATTAGTGAACTAATAGTAAGGAAAAAATTTAGTAGTACTAATTAAAAAACTTTGAAAAGCATTTAGACCAAGTGTGTTTACCTAAAGTATAATTTAAAATCATAAAAAAGAAAAAACAAAATATTTAGCTGACTATAAGTAATGTTGACTTATAGCAGGGAAAAAACGATTTAGTTTTGAATAATATATATTCTAAAAAATATCAACTATAAAATCAGAAATGCTGACTCAAGGGTAATAGTTAACATAATCTCAAAATTTTTAGACCAAGTGTGTCAACTGAAGGTATATTGTGATATCACACAACTAAAAAAACAACTCATAACTAATGTTAAATAGTGTTGACTTATAATACGGAAAATATTTAGTGGTACAAAATAAAGAAATCTTAAAAAAACTTAGAAAATCTAAAAAAGTCTTAAAATTTGTCTACCTAAGGTATATTTTGAAATCATACAAAAGAAAAACAAAATATTCAACTGACAATAAGTAATGTTGACTTAAAGTATGGAAAAAAATATTTTTGTTTTGAATAATATATTCTGAAAAACCATGTCAACTTTAAAATCAGAAATGCTGACTTGAAGGTATTAGTTTACAAAATCTTTAAATTTTTAGACAAAGTGCATCAACCTAAGGTATATTGCAAAATCAAAATAAAAAAATAATAATAATAATAATAAAATAATTATATAAAAAATGTTGAATAGTATTGACTTACAGAACTAAAAATAATATTTAGTAGTACTAATTAAAAAACACTTAAAAACATTTAGACCATATGTGTCTACCTAAAGAATATTTTAAAATCATAAAAAAGAAATACAAAATATATAACTTACTATAAATAATGTTGACTTATAGAAAAGAATAAATATTTTAGTTTCAAATAATAAATTCTAAAAATTATGTCAACTTTAAAATCAGAAATGCTGACTTAAAGGTAATAGTTTACAAATCTTAAAATTTTTAGACCACTAAAGGTATATTGTGATATCACACACACACACACACACACACACACACACACACACACACACACACACACACACACACACACACACACACACACAAAATACATATCTAATGCTGAATAGTGTTGACTTTAAGTATGGAAAATAATATTTATTGGTACTAATTAGAAATATCATAAAAACCTTTAGACCAAGTGTGTCTACCTAAGACTTATTCTAAAATCATACAAAAAAAAAAATTTTTGAAATCATACAAAAGCAAAAACAAACAATTTAAATGACTATAAGTAATGTTGACTTAAAGTATGGAAATTTTTGTTTTGTTTTGAATAAAATATTTTGAAAATTATGTCAACTTTAAAATCAGAAATGCTGACTCAAATAAATGTTTACAAAATGTTTAATTTTTTAAACCAAGTGTGTTAACCGATGGTATATTGTTATCACACACACACACACACACACACACACACACACACACACACACACACACACACACACACACACACACACAAAATACATAACTAATGTTAAATAGAATTGACTTACAAAATGGAAAATAATTTTTCATGGTACTAATTAAACAAATCTTAAAATCATTTAGACAAAGTGTGTCAACCTTAGGTAAATTGTGATATCACACACACACACACACACACACACACACTCACACACACATACACACACACACACACACACACACACACACACACACACACAAAAACTACATAACTAATGTTGATTAGTGTTGACTTATAGTATGGAAAATAATATTTAGTGGTACTAATTAAAAAAATCTTAAAAACATTTAGACCAAGTGTGTCTACCTAAGGTGTATTTTAAAACCATACAAAAAAAAATATTTTTAAAATCATGCAAAAGCAAAAACAAAAAATTTAAATGACTATAAGTAATGTTGACTTAAAGTATGGAAATTTTTGTTTTGTTTTGAATGAAATATTTTGAAAACTATGTCAACTTTAAAATCAGAAATGCTGACTCAAACAAATGTTTACAAAATGTTCAATTTTTTAGACCAAGTGTGTTAACCGATCGTATAGTGTTATCACACACACACACACACACACACACACACACACACACACACACACACACACACACACACACACACACACACACACACACTCAAAATAACTAATGTTAAATAGTGTTGACTTATAAAAAAGAAAATAATATCTAATAGTACTAGTTAATAAAATATTAAAATCAAATTGACCAAGTGTGTCTACCTAAGGTATATTTTGGCATTATACAAAGGAAAAACAAAAAATTTAACTTAATATATGTAATGTTGACTTATAGTATAGAAAAAATATTTTTGTTTTGAATAATATATTCTGAAAAATAATGTTAACTTTAAAATCAGAAATGCTGTCTTGAAGATAACTAATAACAAAACCTTAAAATTTTTAGACCAAGAGTGTCAACTGAAGGTATATTATAATATCACACAACCAAAAAAAAAAGAAACTACAAATGTTGACAGTACAGTAAATGCTGACAGTACAGTACAGTAAATGTTGATAAAACAAAAAATAATTTTAGTGGTACTAATTGAAAAATCTTGAAAACATTAAACCAAGTGTGTCTACCAAAGGAATATTATAAAACCATACAAAAGCAAAAACAAAAAATTTAAATGACTATAAGTAATGTTAACTTATAGTATAAAAAATTTTGTTTTTGTTTTGAATAATATAATCGGAAAAATTAAGTCAACTTTAAAATTAGAAATGCTGACTTAAAGGAAATAGTTTACAAAATAACAAATTTTTTAGAAGAAGTGCGTTAACCAAAGGTATATCGTGATATCACACACACACACAAACACACACTCACACACACACAAAATACATAACTAATGTTAAATAGAATTGACTTATAAAATGGAAAATAATTTTTCATGGTACTAATTAAACAAATCTTAAAATCATTTGGACAAAGTGTGTC